TTCGCCACTACCCAAATAGAACTAGCGGTATGCTTCGATTTCCGACTTAAGGCGTCCGCCACTACGTTAGCTTTTCCTTCGTGATACTGAATATCTAACTCATAGTCCTTGATGAGCTCTAACCACATTCGTTGCCGCATATTGAGATCCTTTTGGGTGAAGATATATTTGAGACTCTTGTGATCCGTGAAGATCTTGCAACGCACCCCATATAGATAATGCCTCCAAAGTTTCAAAGCAAACACTACCGCGGCCAATTCCAAATCGTGTGTAGGGTAATTCTCTTCGTGAACTTTCAGTTGACGCGAGGCGTAGGCAATCACTCTCCCATTTTGCATCAACACACAACCTAGTCCTTTCTTGGACGCATCACTGTATACCTCAAACCCTTCCGTTCCTGATGGCAAAATTAAGACTGGTGCAGTCGTGAGCCTCTCCTTCAAATCTCGAAATGCTAACTCACAAGCTTGATCCCAAACGAAAGGCACTTCTTTCCTTAATAACTTAGTCAAAGGTTGAGCCACCTTAGCGAAGTCCAAAACAAACCTCCGATAATAACCCGCTAACCCAAGAAAACTTCTTACTTTTGACACCGACGAAGGTACAGTCCAATCTTTCACTACCCGTATCTTGTCCGGATCCATAGAAATCCCCCTACTATCAATCACGTGGCCCAGAAACGTCACACTGTCTTTCCAAAACTCACACTTAGAGAGCTTGGTGTATAACTGCTTCTCCCTCAAGATCTGAAGTACCGTCCGAAGATGTCCAACATGCTCTCTCTTATCTTTCGAATAGACCAAAATATCGTCGATGAACACGATGACAAAATCATCGAGGTGGGGTTTGAACACTCTGTTCATCAAGTCCATAAAGACTGCAGGGGCGTTAGTCAACCCAAACGGCATAACTGTAAACTCGTAGTGGCTGTACCGAGTCCGAAACGCAGTCTTAGGAATGTCCTTGTCTGCTACCTTTATCTGATGGTACCCTGACCTCAAGTCAACTTTGGAAAACACTCCTGCACCGCAGAGTTGGTCAAACAAGTCGTCGATCCTTGGGAGGGGATATTTGTTCTTGATGGTAACTTGGTTCAGCTCCCGGTAGTCGATACACAACCTCATACTTCCGTCCTTTTTCTTTACAAACAAAACTGGGGCTCCCCATGGTGATGTACTTGGTCGGATGTAACCCTTATCAAGGAGTTCTTGCAATTGGATTTTCAGCTCTTGCATTTCTGGCGTAGCCAAATGATACGGGTCTTTAGAGATGGGTGCAGTGCCTGGCATAAGGTCCACTGAGAACTCCACTTCCCTAGAAGGGGGCATACCCGGTATTTCCTCGGGAAATACATCAAGAAATTCACAGACTACGGGTATAGATTGACCTACCTCTCCTTTTTCCTTCAAGTTCTCGACCGAACACAAGAATAACTCGTTGCCTTTATCTATATACTTCTTCATCTTTGTCATAGAAACTAGCTTAATCCCGGTTTCTTCCATCTTCCCACGGTATGACACCCTTTTCCCGCTAGGTCCTCGTAGCACCACTTTCTGATCTTTGCAAAAGATTTGGGCTCTAAACCGCCCCAACCAGTCCATACCTAAGACCACATCCATCCCGTCCAAGTCGTACTGGATTAGATCGCTAGGGAACTCTTCTCCTTTGATATTGATCTTGATGCCCTCAAAAAGGCGGTCACACATCCTAACTTCTCCTGATGCTACCTTCACGTTAAACCTCACTCCCGTGCCCCCAGATAAGCCCAACTTCTTCACGAGGCCGAGTGATACGAACGAGTTAGACGCTCCTGAATCAAACAAGACTGTTGCTGGCACAGATTGCACAAGGAAGGTTCCCACTACTACGTCACTGTCACTTGTTCGAACTTCATTTAGGGTAAGCACCCTCTCTTGAGATGACCCTTCCGTCGGATAATGAACTTCTATCCTTCCATGCCTTTTTACATCTCGGAATGCTGGCAAGGTAGCTGCACTAAGACTTACTCTTGTGGACGTACCACTCCAGATCCATCGTTCAATCGCCCCAGAAGCATTGCTAGATTCGGCCAACCGAGATTTCTTAACCACTTCACCCACATCTTCAAACGTTGCGATACACTGACGAGGAGGCATCACAGACTTCTGCTACAACAATGAGGTTACCAAAAGAAAGCAAACAAGCAACACAGCAAACAACACACATCTCGCCGCGCAACCTAGAGTCCTAAGTCTAACACTTAGCTTCTTAAGGTCGCTTAGAGGTCTCAAAACACACTTAACCACTTAGAAAGTCTAGACTTTACTCTTCCTAGGCTCAAACCTAGGCTCTGATACCAACTGTAACACCCCCCAAACAAGACCTATATAAAAGCCTTAACATATGCAGATTAAGCGACAAGACTAGCACAACGGAAGATAAAAACGAAACTGGATAAAAAGAAATCCAACGGGGTGTAACGCCACGTATAACAAACACGGTAAACGCTACGGCAAACAATCTGCAAGTGTGTACATCTATCCCAAAACATCAGTCTAACTACATCGGCACACAGGCCACAAAAGCAAGGATAAAGGTGCTAAGCTACCAGACTCTAGACATCGCGCTCGTCTAAACATCACCTGAAAGATACAAAGATAAACATTGGGACGACGCCCGATCAGCGAATAATGCTGGTAACCCACCAATACCGTTACATATCATAAGTAGATAGATATAAGTCATAAAGACCATTTTCAAAACGGAATACATATATATAAGTCAAAACCAAGATCAACTGTCAACACAAGACTCATCCCCCAAAAACGTGGACCCATCACTCAGGCCACAACTCCATAATCACGTCACGGCCACCACGAGGACCGCTGCAATACCTTGGTGACTAGTGTCCCATACCACTAATCGTGCAATCCAGGTAGAGCCACACACGCACCACAACTCAACAAGAGTCAAACAACGGATCACAACGAAGGTATGAAACATACTCAATCAAGGAACGGGTCACACAGCCCAACGACAACAACGATGAATAACGCAAGTTATCATCAACCAAACGGAAGGTATAAACCACACACACGCTAGCATTAAGACAACAAACTAGCATGCTTATCAATGGGGAAACTCGAGATAGTTTCGAGGAACACACAAGACACCTCTTGGTCCAATGAAACACAATGTTGAACACTTAGCACGATTCAAGACACCAAAGTCCTACATGGATACCTACCATATAGTTCTAGACGTACGAAACATCAAGGAGACACTCAAATAGTTCCACAAAAGAACAACGGGAAGCCAAAAGACCAAATACCGAGTCAAAAGAATCACGGGGAACAAATCCCATCTCAACGCCATCATGTTCCTCGCGGGTGGACCCACGGGTAGGCCCTACCCGTGGGTACACTACCCACAAGCCTATGTACCTGCGGGTGGGCGGCGGGTAGGGCTCTCCCCGCTGTTCCGCCCGCGGGTACATACTCCTGGGCAAAATAATCCCTTCGGAGATTTTCTTCTCCAAACACAAATTCAAGTCCAAAACATGCCAAATCTCACCAAACACAACAAAATGACTTGAATCATGGAAAATGCCATGCAATGGCACAAAGGAACCCTAAACACAAGCTCTAGATATGCAATATCACAAGACAAATGCATAAACTCTCACATTTCATAGCAAAACACATGTAGAATCTAAGAAATCACATATAGGTAAGCAAAATAGGTTTTGTAGAGCATGGGTTACCTCTTGAAGACCAAAAGACTTCACTTTACACCACAACAAGCTCTCCACAAGGCTTACTTTCCAAACCCACTTCAAGATTAAACCAAAAGATCATAAAGATCCTACCTTTAAGAAAAAGACAACTAAGATGGAACCAAAAACACAAGATAAACTTAGATCTTATCCTCCTAGATGCCCAAATAGGTGAAAGATTGAATCTTGGAATCTTGACAAGGGTCTCAACTTGGCTTGGAGAATAAGCTACACTTCTTTTCTAGAGAGAAGGTAGAACTATTTTTCTAAGAATTGTAGGGAATGAAATGAAGAAGTCTTCTAGGTTAGGTTACAATACTAACTCTTGGTGAAAAGACAAGGATACCCTTACTAACCCTTAGAAAGTGTAAGGAACAAGGGAACTCCCCTCAAAGCACAAGGTACAACACAACTTAAAGGTTGACTAGTCAAATTCTAGTCCTTGAGTATTAAAAATCAGGATTTTAGGAATTAATTCCTCAAATAAAAATAGGATTAATTACTCAATTAATCCATGGATTGAATGTGGATTTTTGGGGTGTCACAGCGAGTTCTGCCGGCTCGATTTCACTGTCGGATTCAGCTTCTCCCATTCCCTCGTCCCGCCCTGTAGTTTGCACAGCTGGAGCCTTTCCCGGCCTGTGATGGGAGTAAGCTGGTGGATCACATCTTGCTCCATTCACCGATGATCCACCTGGAACGGAGTTGAGGGTCGGAGGCTAAGGACGATTGAGCCGGATTGTTTCTGCTATCTCGTTCTTCCAATCGCTCATCTGAGCAACTAATCGTTCCAGCAACTCTGAAGTGGTCTTCTTCTGTGTTTCCATCTGGTTACTTAAATCAGCCACCATTAGTTCAAGTTGGTTCAAGTGTGCCTCCATTTACGAGCTCTGATACCAAATGTAATGGTTTCTAGGGTTGACAGAGGAGAGAGAGAGAGAGAGAGTGAGAGAGAGAGAGAGAGAGAGAGAGAGAGAGAGAGAGAGAGATTTGAAGAAGAAACAATTCTGCATTACAAAACGATTAAACTGCTTAGTACAATTTTAGGGTATTTAATCCCTTCTAACAACTGCCCTTACAACGACGTCGTGTGAGACTAACGACTCTAACCGCTGCGCTGACTTATTAAAATGACGGTGTTTTGGCTCTGGCTTCCAACGACTCTCAACAGCCTTAACCGTCCCAGTCATGCGATGTCGTTTTGCTTCTTATTTCCCTTAACCAATTCCCTGAACCGTTACATAAACATCCCTTTTCTTATAGGACTGAGAAACATAAATCCAGACACGATACATGAAATGATATTCAATTTCTTCAGATTTGAATACCTTGTTGGCCAGTGTGGTTTTGCCCAAACCCGGCATTCCAAACACTGAAATCACCCCATAATTTGGCCCTTCCCTAAGGTGATTGATAATCCTTTTTGCCTCTTCATTAGATCCCACTACATAATCTTCCTCCACTCTGGGTACCTTTTTAAGGTCAATAAATCATCTGAGTCAGCATTTGCATTGATCACTTCAATAAGGAAAGGAAACCAGGTAAAACATATAGAAACATGGCCTAATTTCTCATCCATAAATATTATGGAAAATGCATAATTAGTCCTAAGAATAAACCTACCAGGATCATACTCGGCTATCTAAATTAAATTGAGTTAATGTCCAATTTAGTCCTCGAATGTAGTGATTTTTCTCGATTTAGTTCTAAACGACGTTTTGTGTTTAATTAGGTCATCGAATTCTATAGTTTTACCAAATTGGATCACGGCTCAAGGACTAAATCGATCACTAAATTGGGTAAAACTACTATTTTCGAATATTAACTTGGATAAAACTACTATAGTCGATGACTAAATTGACTAAATCCAAACTAACTTAACAGATGATTCAATTAGGTAAAAATCATTAAATTTGAAGAGCTAATTGAGCATAAAAAGTGATTTAGAACTAAATCAAATTGAGTTCATGAGCTATATAAAGGCACTTGATTGAAATTATAATAAAAATTGTTTACCTTCTGCGGCACGGAGTAGGTATGGTCTCGGGGTAAGACTATATTTTCAATCACTTTCTGATACTCCGTCTTCTCCTGAATTACCTTGATTTCCTCGATAATATCTTTGATCTTTGTCGCAATGTCCCTCTTGGTAGGGATATCGAGCAGAACGTTGACCTTGGCGTCCACCACGTATTAGTCGATGAGATTTTCTGACCAGTACACGACGTCCATGATGTCCTTCATCAGCTGCTTCACGATGTCGTTTTTGGTCCGGATTTTCCGGTATTCTTTCAGGAATGCCTTGAAGTCGTTGACGTAGCGGAGGAGTTTTTTGACGTCGTCTTTTATGTCGGAGATTAGCTGGAAGTTCTTGTACAGTAGCTCCGTCAAGCTCTCCACCAGCAAGTTCACTACTGCCTCCATTGTCTCCCTCTCTCTAATCTAATCTTCCTCTGTTCTGTTTCGTCAGCTTCTACATCTCTCATTCTCTCCTGTCTGTTCTTTTATGAACTATCAAGTCAACGAGTCAACTCGTCGTCGGCCACTAAAGCAAAGTCTTTCTTTATTTTCTTTTTCTTTTTGGTAATGATTAAGCATTAAAATCACAAATTGGTGCATCAGTTATTCTCATTTTATTTTTCCGTCGGCTCCGACCTCCCCGTAGAGTTTTATTATATGAACTCTCAAATTCTACTCCTTCATTTTTACTCCTTTAAGTGACAAATTCAGATTGATTATTTTTATCATGTGCGTCCACAAAAAAGTGTCTGTATCAATAACATGTGAGAGGAAGTACAAGTTGAAAGTATAAAATTAGAATGCACCAAGTATTTTCTCTCCATCTATGACCAACTGAGTTGTTCATATAAACATTTATACAGTTTTCATGAAAATATGACTAATTGTACTGAGTAATCATTTATCACATAAATATATGTATGTGTAAATATTTTTAGAAAATAAAAGTTCTTAGCTCTCCCAAAAAGTAGTTCCACAATATTTTATTATCGCAAGATAATTTGATTTATTATTTGCTAATGTCAGCTATCTCTTAGAGCATCCATGCTAGTGGGTTTTTGTTAATTTTTTTGTGGAGCTCATGGTGAGGTAGATGTGAGAGAAGAAAGAGAGAAGCATATTATAACTCTGGCAAGAAATGGTTTTTTATGGGCTCCAAGGAGAGAAGGAGAGAAATAGCTCTAACAATGGCTGTTTTCCCTTTTCTTCCATTCTCTCTTTCTCTTTCCTATTTGACTTCTAAAAAATTGTGCAAAAAACCAAATTAATGTGGATGCTCTTAGTGACCGTGAAATCCCGAATTCTTTGGTTCTAAGGGAGTGTTTGGTTCAGGTAATCTTAGATTACTTAGGTAATTTGAGTCTGGTAATGTTATATTACTTTGTTTGCTTCAAGTTATGAGATTACCTGACAATGTTATATTATCTCAAAACTGATGTGGCGGTAATGTTTCAACGTAATGTGATTACTCCCATTTTCTTAGATAATCTTAGATTACCTTGATTATTCTAACTTTGACCATGTTAACTAATAATAATAATAATAATAATAATAATAATAATAATAATAATAATAATAATAATAATAATAATAATAATAATAATAATAATAATAATAATATTGTCAATTATATGTTGGGTTTTTGGACAAAAATAAAAATACTAACAAACTCCCCCTTTGGTTATTATTTGGCAAAACAACTCGACTAAGTACCAAAACGTTTAGCTAGAAATATAAAAGAGAATAACTGATAACTGTCGCATAAAAGGGAATAAGTATGAAATACAACCCATAAACGAAATAACAGCACACAAGTCGTGCTGGATAAAAGCAAGTGACATTCTTCACAAAACATGGGGCCATCACACAAAAAACACGCCCAGATAGGGCCAGAAGATACTAGCGGTCATACAAAAAACTCCCCCCCTAAGTTTAGGCACCCCCCCTTTTTGCAAAAGATAGACAAAGGAACGATTAAGCATTCGAGGGACCTTCACTATCAGACTTCACGTTCTCAGCAACAGCAGACTCAGTCACGCTTAATCGAAGCAGAACAGTCGCAAGTTCAGTACGGGCTGCAGTGAGCTGATTCGAGATAATGCCATTAACAGTCTCTAGCTCAGACACCCGAGCCTTCAGTCGCAGGGATAGCTGAACATCTTTCGCATGTAGCGAGTCCTCATTAACTGGTGTAACATCACGGATATGCTTGTCAATCAAGAGGCGCGGATCAACAGTATAGAGCAGAGACGGAGTAATAACCTCACTTGGCATTGGTACTAGGCCCTGTATCGTCAGAACACCAAAGATAAGATTAGGATAAGGCAGTCGTACCTTCTGTTCCCTCGGATGATTCAGGGTAAGAAAATGATAGAAGATCCACTTCCCCAGATCAATGGACATTCTGGTGCCAATGCGGAACAAGAGAGCAGCCAGTTGCTTCCGAACAATATGAAAATGTGCAGAGGGAAGCCAATTGTGCAGTGCAATACGGTGGAGGATAACATATTTAGAGGTAAGCACCGAGCTGGACAGAGTGTCAATGTCACCTGTAGGCCATACTGGAGTCTGACCACCAGTAAGAGTCCTTGCAACCAAATCCCAATCTGTAATTTCTTCTTCGTCAACAGCTTTCAACCCATAGTAGTCATTTATCATGTCTGGACCGAAAACATACCACTTTCCTCTAATGAAAATCTGCTGGCACCGAGTCCCCGTAAGGTTGTCAATTTATTCATTCAGATTGCAATAAAACTCGTAAGTCAACAGCTTCGAGTAAGGGCAAATTGATGTTACAGTCTTTAGGAGGCCAACCTCACTCAGCAAGGGTAATACATCACAGACAGAATTTAACTGATTCTCATCAACTGATCGCTGAACAATATGCTCTCGTCTCACCATAGTAGACCACTTGCCTTAAGCTGTTGCAGAAACAAAGTGTGGCTTGTAAATGGTGGTGTCAGTACTATCAGAGGTAGCTTGCACATCAGGAGTCACACTCCTTCCTCTTGACCCTGTTGAAGCTTTCAACTTTCTGGTAGCAGTGGTGGAAACAGTCGCAGGGGCCTTAATATTGATAGACGATCTCAAGGTTTTAAACACTTGTTGGACAGGTGGATCACTTTCAGCCTTCACCGACTCAGCTGATCTTCGTCTTTTCTCTGGTTGAACAGTGTCAATATTATCATCACCAGTTTCCACAGCCACTCTTTCTGGAACACCTTTGCGTTTGGATTTCCTTGTTTCTCTAGCAGGAGAATGATCAGTAGGACTTGGTGAAACCGAATTGCTTGTCTTAGACATAGGAGCAAATGAAGATGCAAGAAGTTTGGAGACTTCTCTGATTTTGAATGTAGTGGAGTCTGGATGTGCTGTCTCTTCCACTGTAAGGGGTCTAATGGAGTCAGACGATGGGGCTTGTGGACCATACACTTCAGCCAGAATTTTCTCATCATCACTGTCTATCTGCAAAGAGGGATCATTAGGATGAATAACACTGTATGGCTCAGGTACTGAGGTAGAGGGTAAACCAGCAAAGTGATGAATGTGATCAAGACTTTCAGCCAAGGTAGTGGCTGTATAAACTGGAACTCCATCAATTGAACCAGAGGGACGAGGGCTTGTAGATTTTTCAGCTTCAATCTCAGCAGATAACTTAGGTGGATCAACAACCGGGCAAACCTCAACCGAGGACTTAACAACATCAGATACAGGAACAACAGAAATTGCATATCGCTCAACATCAGCAGAGTAAACAACCAGACTCAAATTTTCTATCTTATCAGATTGTTTAACTTTTTCTTCAGACTCACTGTCAAGAACAACTTTTGTAGACTCAAAATTTTCAGAAGATAACAGATGTGGATCATCAGAAAAAGAGGACTTCGCAGACAGTAACGCATTCTCATTATCAGATTGTGCAATAGGCAGAGCAGATTCAATGTCATCAGAAAGTAAATCAGCAGGCTTATCAGGGGAAATCTCAATAGGAGTTTCAGAAGTATTAGACCTATTTTGTAGAATCTCAAGACGATGTTTGGCTTCATCTTGTGCAGCTTGAAGGTAGAGAGGTCGAGCTTCTACCATTCGACACGAGACTTCTTCCGATTCCAGAGCTCTTTGGGCAAAATATTTGAGGAAAGCCCCAGCACGGTTCCCATCTTCAGGTTCAGCAATGGAGGCAGGGCTAACATTGTCACTCGCTTCAGAGGCCAACATAAGAAGATCGCTTGTATCATCGTACGACCAGTCCGCATAGAACTCCGGGTAGTCTGAAATCATCGTGGCAATGATCTCGTTGCGGAGAGCAGAGTCTAGTTTCAGCTTCTTTTTCATTGCGAGTTGGAGGAGTGTTTTCACATGCTTCGTTGCGGTTTCTGGTGAATGGATTTTCCTTCCCAACTTGATGATAATATTCCTCACTTCATCCGCCATAGTCGTGAGATTTGGGAATGTGAAGAGAGAAACCCTAGGTAGAGAATCAGTAAGAGATTAACTGAGAGCAAAGTAGTGTTTAGGACTCTTTTCCTATCAATATTGACCCGATGAAATATATAATCCCAAGGGTGTTGAACACTATTCAATGCGGCTGTCAGAATGCATGCAGCTGAGATTTGATTGACGCAACGGTATAGCTCCTTTTTAGGGATTAAACGGAAGATTTGAATTTCGAATGGGCAAATTAAATTTGGTAACCAAGGTTAAGATATTATCTTAACAGAAACAAAAGAGATATTAAAAAGAAAGTCAAAGATGTAATTTTGACCCGAGATTGAGACCATCATACACTCTCCTTTTGTATTATCATTCTGCCTTACTAATCAATCCTGCAGATTCCCAGAGCAGATCTGAGAATTTCAAACCGATTTGCGTCCGGAGGCTTAGTCAGTATGTCAGCCAATTGCTTGTCTGTTTGAATATATTCCAACTTTATCTCCTTTGATTCTACCAAATCTCTGATATAGTGATGTCTTATATCAATATGCTTCGTTCTGGAATGTTAAACTGGGTTCTTTGAAATGTTTATTGCACTGACATTGTCACAGTAAAGTGTCATAGTCCTTTGAGTGAGACCATAATCTAGAAGCATTTGCTTCATCCAAACCAGCTGAGTGCAACATCCTCCAGCTACTATATATTCTGCCTCTGCAGTACTTAGCGAGATAAAATTATGTTTCTTGCTTAGCCATGATACCAAATTCTTACCCACAAAGAAGCATCCACCTGATGTACTCTTTCTGTCGTCAATATTTCCTGCCCAATCAGCATCACAATATGCAATCAGACTGAGTTCAATATCCTTGGAATACCATATCCCATATTGAATTGTTCTCTTGATGTATTTCAAGATCTATTTAGCAGCTATCAAATGTAACTCTTTGGGATCAGATTGATATCTTGCAA